CACGGGAACAGTAGGTGGAGACGTTGGCAGCAACATGGATGAGGACTGTGACTGTTGTAGGAAAGTAGACAGTAGTGCATTGCAGGGCACTGGTTGCGGAGATTGAGATGGAAGTCCGTGAGGTGTTTGCATGATACCTGGAAATGAAGCGGTGCCTGATGAGGGCTTGATAGAATCTCTGCCATAAGAGGAAGAAGGAAACATGTGTTCATTAAATGTAACATGCCGTGAGATGTAGATGCGGTTTGTTTCCGGTTCAAGGCACTTGTAGCCTTTGTGAGATGAGCTGTAGCCGAGGAAAATACAAGCAATTGATTTTGGGCTGAGCTTATTTGAACGAGTAGCGCCAATAAAAGGGTAGCATGCACACCCAAAGCTTCGAAGAAGACTAATCTGGAGCTTTGCCAAATAACATTTCGAAAGGAGATCTATAGCTCAAGACTGGTGTTGGTAGGCGATTAATCAAATAAACAGCAGTTATAAATGCCTCCAACCAATAGGATTTCTGGAGTCCACTTTGTGAAAGCAAAGTGTTGCTGGACTCAACTATGTGCCGATGCTTGTGTTCGGCAACACCATTTTGCTCGGGTGTGTAAGGACACGAGCGGCGATGTGTAATGCCACAATGAACAAGAAGGCGACTTAATGCTCCGCTAACAAACTCCCCACCTTCATCACTTTGAAAGTATTTGATTTTTCGCGAGAACAAGTTCTCGGTTAATTTTCTAAAATGCTCAAAGCATGACATGCTGTCCGATTTGTTTTTCATGGGATATAACCACGTATAGCGGCTGTAATCATCAATAAACGTTATATAATAACGGTAGCCACTGTTGGATGGAATGGGCGAGGGACCCCAAACATCACTGTGCACAAGAAAGAGAGGACAAGGAGCATTATGTACTACATGTTGGAAAGGTAAACGATGACTCTTAAACAAGGGACAATCTGAACAAAAGAAAGTTTTACTCATGGACTTGATATCTAACTTGTTAGTGGAAGGCAAATGACGCAAAATAGAAGAAGACGGACATCCAAGTCTGCGATGCCAAAGTTCAATGGAGGAAACACTGCATGAAAGAGCCTGAGATTCAATGGGGCGTCGGATTGGGATTGGGATTGGGATTGGGATTGGGATTGGGATTGGGATTGGGAAGAGATCTCCTTTATTTGGTCTTTCGAGAAGTACCTTTCCCATTCGAAGATCCTTAATAGAAAAACCCCAAGGATAAAAACAAAACGAGCAATCATTTTCTTTTGTGAATTTTCCAACAGATAGTAAATTTTTAGTAATCTCGGGAACAAATAAGACAGAATTGAGCGAGAGATTACGATTTGAAATAGAAAGATTGGAGGTACCAATGTGGGTTATAGGAATACCTGACCCAATTCCAACAATAACATGGTCAGTACCCGCATAGGATTCGGTATGTTGGAGAAGAGAAGGATCACCAGTGAGGTGACTTGTAGCACCAGTGTCCGGATACCAGTTATCATCAGAAAATGAACGCATATGCATAGCTGCAAAAAACTGTGGTAGTTCATCCTGGTAGGTTTGATTAAACCTATCACGGCAGCGAATGGCAGTGTGGCCTAGGCGGCTGCATATTTGACAAAATAATGGTGGACAGCATGGAGCTTTGTTGTTGTCATAATGCTGTTGCGGACCAGCAGGAGATGGATGTTGAATATTGTCCTGATAAGGGCCTTTATCACCTTTATTTTGTAGGGAATGATCACCATAAGAGACACGAGAGTGATAGTTCCCAAAATGTGATCTTCCCTTGCAACAACATTTGTTAACAGCTTGTTGGTCGGTATACAATGCTTGAGTTGGATCGGGTGTGGCAGCAAAGGGTTGGAACTGATGCAACCTTTGCTCATGAGTAATGAGATGAGCGTGTAACTCAATAAACTGAATAGGCTCAACCCGATTCGAAATAGTGGTGACAAATGATTCATATTCTTGGGAAAGTCCTCCAAGAACATACATAACGAGATTGTTGTCTAAAACAGGGTCGTTGACAGCAGCAAGAGCATCAGCAATAATCTTAATTTTGTTATGATATTCATCCATGGAATTGGTACCTTTTTGTAGTGTTTGAAGCTGAAGTCGAAGTTGCATGATTCTTGCTTGTGAGTGTTGCACGAACGTCGAAGATAGGAGTTCCCATATCTGTCGAGATGTAGTGAGCCCAACTGTTTGGGCTAAAACTCCTTCAGTGAGGGTGCTGTTTAAGCAACTCATAACAAATTTGTCACATCTTTGCCACTGTATGAACGATGGATTTGGAACATCATCTTCAAGGTGAGTGGGAGGTGGTGATATAGACCCATCTATGTAGCCAAAGAGATCTTGGCTAACAAGAATTGGTTGGATTTGGCTTTGCCAAAGGAGATAATTTTGGCCATCCAGTTTGATGGAAACAAACTGGGCAATGTTGGATATGTAGAAAGAGGGAAAGGGACTACTATTGTTGAGTTGAGAGGAAGAGGAAGAGGAAGATGAAGAGTTCTCCATTAAAAAAATTGATTGCAGCTCTGATACCATAAAACAATAACACATATATGGAATGGAGGGCCTTCTGTATTGTATTCCTCTCTTCTTTTATATGTATATTTGAGTATTTTTTTACAATCCTTTTACAACTGTATAAGTAAGATGCATACAACTGTTAGAAAGAGATACAGTGCTGTTAGGAAACTTTAGGCCATTGTGATCGTCTTTCCTTATCCAAAGGATTCGGTACAGTTGTATATTCTAATAAACAAAGATGATCTGTTTTACTTTTATTCTCAATGATAAGCTAGTTGGAAGTTCCTTCCAAGTTTGTTGGCAACTGCAATTTGGGATAATCCTGTTCCATGAAGCAATTTTTGGTAGCATTCAGCTAGTCTTTGGTGAAATGTTTGTCTCCCAAGTATTCTATTAGAACAACAAAAATACTTCTTATATAGTCTACATCTTAGAGGCCATGTCTTCCATGCTTTCAGTGTTACCCCAACTATGACATTTTCGAGTTTTTGTTCATCTTTGAATGTTTTGCTTGAAACTAGAAGTATGATATCTAATTGCAGCATCAATTCTTGCAACTTTTCAGGATCTCAGGCGGCAAATGGAGAAGTGGACTTGCAATTTATCTCTATTTCACTCTTGGGGACTTCTACGATGTCCTATGGCATTAGATCTTCTAGATTGCAGTGGGTCGGATTGAAGTTTTTGTCTTTCTGTTTTCCCCTTTCATTTTGTTCCTTCCATTAAGTATTCATGCATGTATGAGGCGTCTTGGTTTTTGTTAAAGTGAAAAGTTTTAGTCCTTCGGCTTAAAGAGTAGAGAGATTAAAGTTTTTGTTTTAACAATTTTTGTTTTTTTGTTTTATTTATTTATTAATAGGTAGAAATTTTATTGCTAAAATGGAAACAAAGATTTACAAAGAAACCATTGACATGGACAGATCTGAATCTACGTCGTTCAGAAAAAGTAATACAACTCAAAGACTATTAATTAGGAATCTAGACTATTGAGCTGAAATTTCCGGGAGGGAGATGTCGAACCATTGCTAACCTTTGGAAATCTTCTAAGAGTCTCAAATAGCCCAAGCTATCATAATCCCCAATTCTAAATCCTTTTTTTGAAGACTGAGATTCAAAATCTAACATCATAAGAATAAAATCCAAATCTCTCCCCTTCAGTAACGTCCAATTATTTTGAGCCAATGGACAAGCCCACAATGCATGGGTCATAGATTCTGAATGATATAAATAAATGCGACATGATTGTTTCGTTAGAACGAAATGCGACATGATTTTTTTGTTGGAACTCCACGTCTGATTAGATTGCCATTGTTGGAAGGGAATCTGTACAAGTTCTCCACATAAAGTTCTCCACATAAAATGCTTACATTTGCTCGATATTTTAAGACCTCATATCTGCCTTCAAAGTTTGATAAATGCCACATTTAATCCTTCTGCATCATTATCTCTATTATTGGCTTCCTTTGTTTTCGAAACAATTTAATTTTTTCAGTTACTTGGTACATAGGATTGTCATCTGAAGCTTCACTTTCTCATACACTCTTAATAATATCTTCACACTTTGGTCGGGAAGCCCATATCTCAAAACGGTGAATCACCTTTTTATGCCGCTTGGGGTTAGATTGATCGGCCACCTCTATGAGAAGAAGGTCTGAGGTCGTGAAAGGGATATGTTGAACTCTAGAACCCTTAAACCAATCCAACCAACTCATAGAAGCCATTGCTCTCTCTAGTCATTTTTGAATATTAGCTTCCTCATGCCTCATGTTATTCCATGTGAAATCAATTCCATTATAATAAAGAAAATTTAAATATTTTTTTATACTAATGTAATAACAGTATCAAAATATATTAAGCCGAGTTGAGCTCAAACCGAGCCAAGCCCTAAATCAGCCGAGCCGAATCAAACAAGATGTGGCTTGAGTTTAGTGTTTTTATACATTCAAGCTCAAATTTGGCTTTATTTGTTTGAGCTTGAAATGCTAGCGTGAGCTTGGCTCCAACGAGTCGAGTCATCGTGCTAGCTTGGCTCAAACAAGTCGAGCCGTCAAGCTAGCTTGGTTTGAGTGCAGCCCTAGTCGTAATCTTCCGTCTGTTTCTTTTTTTATGAGCCGGGCAGACTTGTACTTTTAGCCTGAAGGACGGCGTGGCCTAGAGCTATATAAATGGAAAAAGATCAGCTCTAGGGCAGCAGGTGATAATTTAGGTGAGAAGTCATTTTATTGTCTCCCCTTAGAGTTTGACTTCTCCCCATGGATGCCGGAGCGCTTAGCTCGGCAGCCACCAGAGCTAATCTTTTTCCAAATAAATAAGGGGAATAGCAAAGCTTAGGCCGGCCTATAGCTACTGGCTGTACACCTGGGTACTGGACCTCTGGTAGTTAGTATATCTTTGCGTCCGAACAGCTCCTGAAGTGGAGTTTTCATTATCTCAAGATATATCCAAAAAAAACCGAAATAAAAAGAGGTTCTACCGAGAATTTAACTCGGGTTACTGGATTCAGAGTCCAATGTCCTAACCGCTACACCATAGAACCTTACGTTTATTTATTCCCTTTTGAATATAGTTATTCTTTCTTTATAGACATTTCCTATTTTAAAAGCTCAGTTAAGAAATTATATTTAGGTATGCACTCATGGACCATGGTGTAAAAACCGAGGGAGTCTGAATCTGAAGGAAATTTTCAAGTGTATAGAAATATGCACTACATGTGGATAGTGAATAATGTTACCACTGGAATAGTAAACGTAATTTACGAGTTACGACCGACATTAAAGCGAATAAAGCACTAGCTCAGTGCCGAGTACGGGGTACTGTAGCATGGGGCTACATACATTGATGCTTGTATGTAAACTTTACTCCACTCTCCAGCGTATCATCGTCTAAATCCATATTATAAAGACTAGATTAAGTCAAAACAAAGAAAAACCCTTTGTCAAGTGATACATGGCTTCAACCAGAAGAAGAAATAACAAGTGATACATGGCATATAGTCCCACTGTCCCAGTAGAAAATGCGGACAGCATATTAGGGTTATCTTAGCTAATCATTTTTTCTCACTAACATTACAGCCTTTTAATTTTAAATTAAGAATAGATGTTCAATCATCAATCCTAGTCCTAGATGCTTATCATCTCTAATCCCATCAAGTAGATAATAAAAAAAAGTGCCCCCCCGGGGGTGTAGCCCAGTGGTTGAAGGACAAACAGTAAACCCAATGGTCTTGAGCTCAATTCCCAGGCTCCCCTTCAATATCGGTTGTATGGGGTGGGGGTATTCTCTATGTAACATGTGAGACTAGTCTAAGTCTTTAAGGCTCACGATATGCATGTTTATCCGAAAAAAATTAGGTATACTCCACGTCCCAATACATAACATGTAGAATATGTACATGATATAATTATGGTACCTATATCACCTGTCATATAGCTAAGATGGCAAGGTGTACCTCTCTCATGATAGTGGTCCTAAGATCAAGTCAAGACAATTGGTTTGAGTGATGTGGCAAGCAAGAGGTGCACTCACTAATTGCTAATCCATTGATCCTAACTAGTAATGGTAGATACTAACAATAACCTGACAACTTACTTAGATAAATTATGTTAACGCCAAAAAAAATAATGTAACTAAATAAAGTTCAATAATAGGATAATGTTGTTTATGTTAAATTGCTTAACAGTTCCCTAATAATAATTTGTTAGCGTTAGTTGGATGATTGATTATTCAATAGTTAATACAGCTTCAATTTATGTTGCTACATATATATCCTCTATGCATTCCGATCGCATGATATGGTTTGCATTAATCCATCTGTCTGGTCCCCCACTGCACTCCATTACCTACTTCTAGCACTACATTGATTTGCCGATAGGGCTCCGAATGACTAATCGGAGGGCGATAAAATGGTTTTTTTTTACATAATTAGTGGTAATTTACTCAGTTTGATCCATAATCTGCTCTTCATATGGCTTGCAATATATCATATTAAGACAGTCAAATAGTGGGAATCTTGCTTGGTTTAAAAAATTAGTTGTTTCTTTTAGTGGAGTTCCTTGGTTTCATCTCCCTGAATCCCTAACCCCAAGTAAAGCAAAAGAATTTGCATTTTTCTTGCTACTAATGTAAAGGTAATCACAAAAGGGTGATGATATTAGGGCCCAATGAACGTTTCCAATAGTAACTTCCATTTAGGAATTGGTGTCTTTTTCTTCCCACCAAGTAAAGGTGACATGACAGGTGTCATTTTTCTCTAAGGCTATGTTTGTTTGGGTGGAAAACATTTTGAAAATTTTATTTTTTCTCGTAAGTAATTTCTCCTGGTTTTTTGGAGAAAAATTATCTCTCAGCCATAAAGTTGTATTGGAGAATTATTTGCAGCAAAACAAAAATTGATTTTTTAGTATGTCAAACACAAAATACAGTATTCTTCTCATGCATCTATTTTCCGTCCAGCCTAAAGGGAGAGAAAAGGACGGGAGAAGTAGAAGAATGGGGTCCAAATGGTTCTTACTGAGAAGACCACATCCATAGGCACTCAAAAAAACACAACCTAAGGGTTGTGAAGGCCTCAGAATATGTTAAAGGCACTTGTACGGCCTATGGGGACCAAGATCCCACTCAGCTTCCCCTTTTATAGTTTATTGATATTATACTAACTCTGCTAGAAATTTTGCTTAAATAAAGCAATTGAGAAGAGGACTCCCCTCATAGCTTAAAATTTATCAAATGCCCATGGTTGTCTTGTTGATTTTTGATTTAAAATTGTTTTAAATTAATAAAAATCAGATCATTAGGATCCGGGGTTTTGATTTTAATCATGAACTAAAACACCCAATTAATTTAATCTTTGCTTAGGTTGGGTGTTTAATATCTTGAAAGAGAGAAAACACTCTTTTAGTGCATTTCCCCTAGTTCTTTAGTCTCACATAGGGAAAGAAAAGAAAAGCTAAAGAGTTTAATTACCCAATTGTTTGCTTAGTTGTCAACAATTAAGCATGTGGTAGAGACTTTGACCCATCAATTCCTTTAAACGATAACTAGGGTGCGCGAGCTACGCTCGCAACGAGCGCGAGCGCACACGCACGAGCTCGGGTGCCGGTGCGGTGCGGGCATAGGGCTTTGGGCGCTATAAGGCGCACTTTGCACTTCGCACGTAGGCCCATGATGGGCTGCTCTAGCCAAGGCCTGACCTTGTGTGTCATGTGGCCTGTCTGGTAAAGGAGGGCCTAGCTAGATGGTTGAGCCCATGCGCATGCGAGGGGACCTGAGTCCTCTATAAATATAGGAGCTTGGGGAGGGTCTGAGAGTTGGAACTCAGACCAGTGAGCTCGACTAGAGACTGATCCGTGGAGTGTAGCTTGATCCGTGAGCCCAGACCACGAAGCCTAGAGTCCAGTGTGCCACCAGACCAGAGTAGGTGCACCCTGGTCCATTCTGCTCCGAGTAGCCATGGTCCATCAGAATGACTCCATACCAGAGACCTCTTAGGAGGACCCTAACCTGGAGATCTCCATTAATGGTGGTCCTTGAGCTCGATGGAGAAGATGGTGACCCTGACCCATTATCCAAAGGCCCAGAACCAGACCCAGCAGGCTATCCGGATCGATCCAGATCCATGGATACATGGAAATGGACAGTTTTGTCCAGCTCCTGATGAGGCTGCAGAATGCCTTCGGGCTTCTTAACCCCCCATACTGTTCGGTTGCCCAATCTGGGATTCTAGATCGAGTAGAACAGTGGATCTGTCCTATATGGGCAGAACCATCTTGGTGACCATCCGATTTCGGGTGTTCCTACTATATCCACATGATGGACTCGATCAGGGGTATCTTGTGGAATGGATTAATCTGGACAAGTCTGTTCTTGTACCCATACTGAACCCGAACTGATAAAATTATATTAAGTATAATCTTGTCTCCAAATAGACCCGGATTAAGTTAAAATAGATTAACTTAAAACTGTAACCAAACGGAACTTAAGGCAGAATTGATTTTGGCCAAACCAGAAACAGATTCTGTGTAGTTTTGATTCTGGACAGAACCAGAATCTGTAACCAAACAGAATAGGTGCAGACTTATTCTGGAATATGTTAAACTAAGATCAGACCAAACCAGAGTGGACCTAACCCTGTAACCAAACGGACCCTTAAACCCTAAGGGGTAAAATGATAATTTTGGATATTGTCTAATTAAGATTATCTCTTACTGTAAATCCGATGGGACTTTAGGACATTTGGATTAATGACAAACCCAAATTAAATGAATATATATATGTATATATTTAATTTTAGAGGGCATCCTAAAGGAAGATCAGTACTCCGTCTTCTACCAAATAGTGCAAACTCGTTGGGAAGATCAGAGAAAATCCGAGCTGAGTTGTATCCTAGAGATAGAACTGCCATATCCATTGCACATGGGAGGCTTCGACTATCTTCAAGAAAGACTCACTTGTAGCGTCTCTCAGCGAAGTGATTCTCTACCTTAATTAATTAAATAATTATTTATTTATTTAACTGCATTATTATCTGTCTGTATTTGCTAAGTGACTATGTGTGCAGAAATTTAGCCTAATTACACCAACAATTTGAAGATATTGTCTATCTCCATGGCTGCTTTTCAAATGCGAGGACTGAACCAGAAGGAACTGATGCCTCGATTCGATGGAAAGAACTTCTACCGCTGGGAGCAGAGGATGAAGTTTTTCTTGAAGCAATCAAAAATGGATTATGTCCTCACGGATGCCTCTCAATACACGCATGTTTTTCTCATCCCGAACTAAAGACGAAGCATTTGAGAAATTCAAGGTGTTCAAGTTAGAAGTTGAGAATTTTCAGGAAGCTAGAATCAAGATACTTAGAACTGACAGAGGTGGTGAATATCTTGATTCAGAGTTCGTTAAGTTATGTAAAGATAACGGAATCTGTCACGAGACAACTGCACCGTAAACACCACAGCAAAATGGTGTTGCAGAAAGAAAGAACAGAACTCTAATAGAAATGGTTAATACCATGCTAAGTAGCTCCAGTGCTCCACAAATCTTTGGGGTGAAGCACTTCTATCAGTTTGTCACATTCTCGACAGAGTTCCTCAACGGAAAGCAGAATCAATTCCATATGAATTGTGGAAGGGAAGAAAACCCAATTTACAGTACCTTAAGGTTTGGGGTTGTCTAGCCCAAGTAAGATTGCTTGACTTGAATAATCCCAAGGTAGGAACTAGAGGTATTGACTGCGTCTTCATTGGCTACTCAATGTCAAGCAAAACGTATAGATTTCTAAATCTAGAAACTTCAGCACCACACTCGATTGTGGAAGCTATTGGTGCTGAATATTTGAAACTGTGTTCCCATACAAAAGAAGTCAAGAAGTAGTGGGGGACCAATCAAAATCCAGTTCTAAGTGGAAAGAGCCTGAAGACCCAGTTCCTTCTGAACCAAGAAGAAGTACTCAACCAAGAATTCCAAAGGATTTTGGCCATGAGTATATTTGTTTGATCGAGAAGGATCCAACAAGTTACACTGAAGCAATGATGTCTAAAG